TCCGGAACAAGATGTAAGATGTCACGTGACAAACTATTATCACTGTGGATATCCGTGTCATCGGCCATTACCACAGGAAATTGGATGGACAACCATGAAACACGCAGTGTTCCGTCCTGTATACACTGTGATGACGCTCAATAACGAGACAATTTAGCCAAAAACAAGCCTAAGAGATACCTAACTTTATCCTTCACTGTCTGGCTTTGTGTGCAATACTGACCACAGTATAAACATTTCCATACAGAATATACTGCAAGATGTCATCATTTAAGCTATATAGACGACTCAACTGCACAGAAATTTCCATATAAACGTAGAGTTATTTATAGCAGCAAAATAATGAATGAAACAATATCATACAGCGGTTCTGTTCTTTGGAGCTCATCAATGTTGCTAGGATACGAATGTATTGAAACCTAGACGGCGACTAAAGAAAACAGAAAACGGTAATGCTGAATTCATTTCCCAATAAATTTCCTTTTTTTGTCATTTTTTGTATTGAATTATTTACAGAATGTCCCTACTGAGTAACATACTGCTTAATCCTCGTTCATGACATTGAGCTTTGTTTAATATTTATATGCCTCCATATTATGAAGAGAGAATGTAAAATCCATGACAAACAATATGTGATGTTAACTTCTAGGAATATATATATATATATATAACTCCAAACAAACAATTTATATTTCACAACTTTCAATGCCATATCGTCCAATCTTAATTGATAATTGATAAAAAACACAAAACTGACCTAATTTACCATAGATGTTTGACGACATTCCGCATCGTGACTTGTCAATGAATACCTGCTTGAAGATTTTGCATTCTCTGGTCCCGGATGTGTACGAGAATCCGCCTCCATTTTGATTCATACAGTGAAATGCGCACTGTTTTCGAGACCGAGTGTCCAACACATTTAAAACCGTGCCACCAACTAAACAATCCACGTGTTTATAAAGCTGTGTATTATTCGCTGTCATAGCAACAACACAGGTTACGTAGATTGTAATACCTAATATACCACGTTTGTACATCCTTGTGAAATTGACAATTGTTGATATAAGTGATAAAATCATCGTTACGTTTTTCGAATATTTACTATTAATGAGCTGTAGAAAATTGACCAATTGCTCAATCTTGATGTATAAAGTTGTGATACAAATAATTCATACGATTATCAATACTTATTCCATGCAACACAAACTCCACAAATTTTACATTTATCCTTGTCGGCTGAATCAACTTTCCTTCTTTTCCGGATGCCTAGTTATAACCAGACCTTGAAATTTTTTTTCCTGACAGACTGCAAATGTCTTATCGAAGTGTTGTCTGTTCACTGGCTCCGGGGACTAATATCTGTAACTACGATTACGCTCATTAAATATCGATTTACGGGTTGAGAGCATCATTTGATTTCTCTTTGTTCATTCATTCATTTAATTATAAGAAGAAACATCTATCGCGAGAGAAACTAACTTTAAGTACGTGCTAAAAAACAATGTTTAACGAACGTTCCAGATATTCTCTTCCTACTAAAACAATATTAATAAATATAAAAGTTAATACTCCAAGTAAAACTGGGAGTAATAAATCTCAAGTCTCCTTTCATACCTGATTTACATAGGACGATGCTTAATAAATAATGCAGTCACGAAAAGTTGGAATCTCTATGTTGCAGTTTACATTTTAACTACGAGTAGCATAAGCTTAAATGGATGTTACGGAGCTCGTGTCGTTTTTTACCATATACTATTTCTTTTCTTCTAAATATTCATTCGTTTTTTTAAATAATACATTTTTTTGAATTTCACATTGTTTCTACGAAATATCAATATGTTTTATTAAAATGATTAATTTTCTATAAATATAATTTCTTTTTATCGCAAAATATTATTCCATTTTCACGACCATCGTATCATCATAACGTTAGTTTCATGCTTATATCTAAACAATGACTCTTAGTGCGAAATCCGTATCGATTGTCTGTTACTAGAACGAATCCCATGCTAATGATTTAAAATCCGAAAAATGCCATCATGTTTTAAGCAAGGGCACAACAATCCTTCACTCGCTGCAAAGGACAGACAGACTAATTTTGTTATGAAACCATAATATTGAATATGACACCCCACAAAAAAACTTGGTTTATCCATGAGAACACATCTCTGTAGAGTTCGGGGATAAGATTTTCTTTACACTTGGTTTATCCATGAGAACACATCTCTGTAGAGTTCGGGGATAAGATTTCTAAATTTGGTATATTATAGAGAATATATGGAGTTCCTTTCTTAATTGACTTCCTTTTGACAATTACTATACTGGATTATTCGCAGGACTGGCCTTAAACAGTTAAAAAGGCCTTACAATAGTCAGAATTTCACTTGAAGATACAAAGAGCTTGTCTTTAATTAACACGGATTTTACACTATTAGAGCGATATTCCTACCTGTATGAAATTCAAATATACTTTTTCAAGGACACGACTAATTCTACCACATCAGCCGTTTATATTCTCCTTCGGCAAAATCAAATGGGACAGCATTCCGCCAAGTTTGGCCGTTTTCTTATCCCTTGTCCTTATTTGCGAACCTTACATTACTAACGAGGCGTGACGGATGTCATATTTTACTCCTGTGTTGTGGACTTTGGATTATGATTATGATGACATGTTGGTGATATACCCGAGGATTTTTAATTCTCCATTGTGAGGTTTTTTTTTTTTTTTGTATTTCCATGTAGTAACAATTCTTCCCAAACTATAGTGTTTACATGTTGTAGTTCATTCAATGATATCAATTGAACGGAGTTACGATAAATGCAGGCTGTTGAAAAGAATGGGAGGTTTAATTGTCACCATTTTCAGTCCTATTGTTATATGAAATTAGAGGCGGTTAATGTTTGTTAGTACGCCTGTTTGTTTTTGCTTTTGGTTTTTGTTTTCTTTTTCAAAAATAGTTCCTATTTTAAATATATATATATATATATATATATATATATATATATACTTGGATTAACAAAGGATAACCTTGCGAGTGATGTCGATGAAGCTGGAGACGCTTTCTTTCCTCATCCGGGCTCTCCAAGGTGGCCGCAAGATTAAGGCGTCTAACCGTGTTCATCACTTGCCCTCTACCTCTCGATCGCAGTTTCGATGTCTACATAGGGCAGTCGTGAGGTACTGACTGCAGGTCGTGGAATTTCTTTGGGAATTTTTTCATCCACCTGCAATTCTGACACACACTTAAATAACGTTGGTTGCTAATTGGATCAAATCAAGCCTCCCAAAGTACATTCTTTGTTTACATCTAGTCCCTGTTTAATCGATGTTGCTAATGCCTGAATACAATATAGGTATGTTACCAGACATCCATAACAAAAGTATAGTTTCTTTCACACAGTGACTCATGCGAAAAAGTGGCTTGTAAATAATAGATACAATTTTATTATAAGGTGTGGAAACAATACCTCAAACACATATGAATAACATTACTTGCGTTATCCAGTTGTGATCTCACCAAGCTTTTGTACAGAAGAAAAAAAATTAGAATTCATAAACTGAAATGTTCATCTTAACAATCCGAAAATTTGATTTGATTGGGAGAAAAAAGCATGTAAGAATAAATGACAAACAGTCCGAATGGAATGACGTATCATCTGGTATTCCCCAGGGATCAGTCCTAGGCCCCTAGGCCCTGTCGTTTGTCATTTTCCAGATTTACCAGATATTGTAAAATCAGATATGTATCAGATTTGTTCTTTGCGGTAAAAGGTAAATTCACACCAGGGGTTTCGACAGATGAAGATTTAAGGAAAATAAACAGTCGCAATTTTCATCTCGTTAGATATACTGCATTTTGTTGTATATGGAATTAGAGATGTGCATTGCCGGGTAGTTTCTTTGTTGTTCAATGTATTCCTATCCAAGAACGTGACATTAATTCCTTTGGTTGACCAAACGTTATACGATGAAGTTTATCGATTTTGACTTTGAGATAACATTTACCTGTCAGTGTTTTCGTGTCATTTTTACAACACCATTTGCCCTGTATAGATTACTAGGTATGTCTTACTATATTAGATCAGTAATGATAGATTCTTTCGTATGCTGGAGGATTCAGGCGGAAAATAGGTTTGTAAATAATAGATGTTTATCTATTCTTCGGCATGTTAAATCAATGTCAAACACATTCGAATGTGAACGCTTTCCTGATTTTTGTTCAACGTGATTTAACTATGGACGATTTCAATAAATATTTTATTATTGTTATTGTAATTATAGAGCCTTCCGGTTGATTGCAATCCTCTCTCTTCCAGACAGAATATAAACATGACTAGAGCGTTCTGATTGTGATCATATTTTAATCGATATCAGGCATTCCATTCTTTTTAAGTACAATTAAGTGAAAATACCTTCATCAATAGAATTGCGCTAGAAAATCTGATAAGTACTGACAAATAAAAATAAAAGAAACATAATGATTTCCTGAAAGTTATAAAAAAAATTAAAACAATTTGGATCAAAAGAAAATTACCATATGCCTCACTTAGTTAGCAATCACAAAAAAGTTGATGATACATATTGTTTCTGTTTGATTTTAAAACGTAAATAAAACGAGCTTTCCCTGATTTAACACTGGCGATTGCTTTGTTAGAGATGTCATGATTTTAATTTATTAGAGTTATCCCCCTTTACGCTAACAGGGGGTGCCATTACAAAGGGTTGGCATACCTGCAAACCCAAGGAGGAACACGAGTTGAATGGTTCGACGCTCCCTGATTTTGGTGAGTTCACAGTTTGCTTGGAAATGGACAGGTTTTGGCTGGTTGTGCCCTTTGGAAAGACACTTAACCCTCCTTGCTCTACATGGCATATGGCATGTTGTTGACCGAAATAAGCAAGCTAACAAACAAATTCATTCTCTACTAGGCACAACCGTTTAGTGTACATTCCTTTACCCGCTGATGGTATCATTTATGATTACGACAATAAAGCGGACAAATTATACTATTTATTCACGATTGATGATGGATACTTTCCACACACATATAACTTATTTACACCACTTTTTCTCAAGTCCGTTACTTTGTCCTATGTTTGGTTATCTTTAACAAATTTCAACCATTATGGACTCTCTAGAAATGAAATCAAATATACGCATCAGCTTCCGGTTATCAAACTTCAAGAGGCAACTGAAAGCATAGGATCAGATTTGCATAAGCTCCAATCATTTGAAATAACCACTTTTGTAATCTTTAAAACAATCAACGTCTATTTTGTTCCGACGTGTCTGAAACTTTTTATACAATACCTCTCTAAATTTCGCCGCTGACTGCTGCGTTAATGTTTATGAAGGGTGAATATGAAAGTGACAAAAATACCCTAGCATAATATCTATATTCAACATGTTTGCGTTTTTCGGTATCTTTATCATATCAACATGACATACCTAAGACAACTACAACTGTTAACAGCAGACATCAAACTGGTAGCTGTTCGCGAGCTGATGGTACCTTTTTATTTTACTGATGTTTCCACGGAGCTGTTGAGTGCCATTGATTTGTCAATATCTTATCTTATTAACTAATCGTAATTAGCATTAAGATGTAGAGATGACGTATATTTACACTAATCTCAGTATGTTTCTGTGATAGTTAAATTTGAGCATGTGTGTCGGTCAGCATTCAATTCATATCCAATTGGACATGCGCAGACGTAACTTCCTGGGATATTTCTACATATATGACTGCAAGGCCATTCTAAACACTCATTAATATCTGTAACAAAAAGAAATTAATTAACTACAGACTGTAATTATAAGACATTTCTTCATTAACTACAAACTACAAAAAGAAAGATGAGGCACCCGTTGCTTGACAATCACGTTATAATTTATACCTACCTAACTGACACGTGACCCCACGGTACCCTCGTGGACACTGACACCTTTGCTGGAAACACACACCTCCGTTTCTACACTCGGGTACACATGTTGTATCTATAAACAGATTAACACTGCAATGAAAATATCTATATAAGGTATTGTTCTATTTATATACGCCTAACATCTTTTTACTGATATGTTTGGCTATTTTCTATTAATGATGTAATTTGACATATCATTGCAACACACCTAACTATTGTACAAAAGGCTCCAATGTAAATACAAATTTATATTTATATATATTAAAAATACACGACATCGCTGATTTATCATTCTAGGAATCGTCAGTACAAACTCTAAGGAACTAATTTGTTGTCAGACCGAAAACAACTTCAAACAACCTACTGACACACGTTCTCCCATCTTGCCGGAGTCTGCTTCCCGGAGAACAGACGCATGCGTAATCGCCATGTGTATTACGGCAGTGGTGTTGACATAGCCCCGAGTGACGTGCACATTCATCTATATCTGTAATATATATATACAATCATAAATGATAATAGAAAAACGTATTTTTTATTGATGATGTGCATGCTTGCTATTGCTTAAAGGCAAAAGTTTGCATTATTGGACGGTGGTATGCATTGCTCGGTGTCTAATGAATTCGAAGAGTATTTGTGAAAAACAAAAATATTTGAAACAGTTGCTCCTCTTCCACTACCTTTAGGTATAGCATTACCTTAAACATGCATCATGGTTGACTCTCAGTATTGCTTCCCATTCCCTCTTCTTGAGTTGTCTTCGGTGACTATTGACAATAACGCAGGCAAAGTATAGAGCTAATCGCGGAAATCCAGACCTTTATTTTTATATCAGAAACCAGAGGAGAAACCTTGTGAAACCTTGCATTTATGCAATATTAAAACCCTGGTCACAGCACCAACCAAACCCCGACATTAGTCTTGTCAACATAGTACCTGTCTGACAGAATGTTCCCTCGAATCCCGCTGCACAGTAGCAAGTACCAGCTCGGCAATAACCGCCATTGAGACATTCTGGAGTACATTCAACATCTGTAACATATTTAATAGTGAATCAAACGAAAAATTCGACAGATAGAAATTATATATATTTGCATACATTTTCCAATAGGAAATAGTATTTCTTTTACCCGTAACATTCAACTACCTCTATACTGTAATAATTATATTATGTTTTGTCTATTGGAAAACAAAGTGTTTTTCTTATACAACTTATCCTTCAATACACTATCTCACACACAAACAAATATTTCCATCAGTCTTTTTTCCGCGTGTATCATGACAGAAATAAGGGAGACGTATCACTTACTGTACCGAGAGACAAAAGACCAGCTGCCAGAGACAAAAATACCTTCTTGACCTTGTGTCTATGTTTTGTTTCATTATCTATTCAGTCATTTCTATTGGGTTTCACTAGAATACTGATTATTCATTGCTAAACATACAAGGTTATTTACATACATACCATTGCACGTGCGTCCGTCTGCATTAATGACACGACCGGCTGGACAGACACAGTGATAGCTTCCGAACGTGTTCCTACAGTCGTACTGACAGTGGCCTCTTGGTAACAGTTGACATTCATCCACATCTGCCAGCAAATTAAGTTATTATCTCTTTCTATAATTTAATTGTTGTTCTATTTAGATTACATAACAACTATTGGTTCGAAGAAGCAGACAATGTTAATGTAAAATGACATGACATGACATAACATGTTACCTTGGTGACAGGCAACTCCAGTGACCCCTGGCGGACATATGCATGATCCGTCTGCACAAACACCTCCGTTAGAACATTGGGGATAACAATCCATCTTCAAAGACTCCAAACTCCGTCCACAATAATCGGTCTCATCTTCAATACAACAGAAACCTGTCATATTTACAGACATTAAAACGCAGATCAAAAAGAAATAAATTAAACAAGATAAACATTTTTGACGTTACATTGTGTTACAGTCGAGAACGTTTATCAGTTGTAATCGTTTGCACCGATATGTTTAACGAAAGAGACAATCTTGAGTGCCAGTTCCGCCCTCCGCTCAGGTAATGTCTGTATATCATAAGGACCTGCTTGTAGATTAACTGGAGATCACAACATTGTTTGGATAAACCTATTATTTTTAATTGTAATCTAATAAGGAATTTCCCTGAAAAAGGTCTTCTTGACATATTTGAAATGATTTGTTGTCTTGAAATGTATTTGCCTGGTTGTTTCGGTGTTATTTACCTTGTTCTCATTTTTAAACGTGGCATAACTTTTTTTCATTGACCACGTTTGATGTAGACAGTGTCGTCGATGAAGCCGAAAACGTCCACTCTTCCGGAACACCTGATCATATTTTCCTTGTACTCTTTTGGGAGTCTCATTTTAATCTTTTTTGTTCATATTTTGCCTTAGTTACATCGAATTTGAGACTGGGTTAACGTTCTGTTATCATGTCCTATTTTTGTTATTGATTTTTGAAAGATAATTAAGATCATGCATGATAAATACCAAGTACTTACTTCTTGAACAATCAGTCCCAAAAGACGACAAGACACATTCGGCCTCTTCACCATCATTACTAATACTGTAGTTGTCTTCACAGGGACTCAGTGGAACTGCAGATCCTACATTAATCAATAACATGTCTCATTAATTAAAGCGAGGACTTAAACTTGAATACATAGCTACCCAAGACATACTTAAAAGACATAACGCCTGCGTTACAAAGGAACCTTTCACTACTCTGTGTTTTAGTTAACAGATCTTTAATTATGTGTTCAGAGTCAGCATGGTAACAGGAATCATCTATACGGTTCGATCATTGTTGAGAAAGAATTAAACTAGAAAAGGAGTCAATGCCTCTGCTCACATCCAAATTAACGTGACAAGGCGGGGTGGGATGGGAAAACAAGGATAACACCACCCGCCCCCCATCTTTTAAATGTCGAGACATACTAACGCTTGGACTTCGCGGATTTCTTCTCAACTTTAAATATAGTATATATAGGTTTCAACAAACGAAGAATTGACAATGGTTAGAAATGATTAGGGTAAGCTGGAAACAAATTCAGAACAAGTTGGAAACAAAGCCTCATTACAGCAAAGGATTTTTCGTTTATCTTCGCTAATAAAATTCAAACAGTGATAAAATTCCTATGTATACAACTAGATCGGTTGAATACCATTTAGTCCAGTTGAAATACTATATTTCATGAATGAATACTTACCTCCCGTGGGAATACATTCTGTTGTTCGGCCGGACGTCACAAGCTCATACCCATCCGGGCACTTCAATTTCATTGTCCGAGATTTGCATATTTTTTGCCCGTTTTCAAGAGTCTGAACAATATAATTGTCACCACATAACCCTTCATTAGTTTGTAAGACAACACATCGCCGTCCTACATCATCCATGAGTAAAATCTCTCCTACCCGACACGGCTCCTCTCTCCATGGGGAAACCAGTGTTGTCCTCGTGACCTCGGATGGTTGTGTTACCATGGGGACATCGTCAGGTCGTATTGTTGAGGAATGGAGACATGTGAACTTGTCATCTTTATTACTCCAACCAAGTTCAAAGTCATCCCCGCAAACAATTGCCGTCTGTGTGTGTTCCACGCAGGCTAGTTCAGATGTAAGTTGCACAATTACCTCCCTTGGAGAACATATCCACTCTGTGACATCAATGGAGGTGACATCACAAACGAACCTAGATCGCTTCTGGGTCAATATTTGTCCCTGTGGACAATTTGTTATTGTGTTGCCATTATATCTATTGGAGTCATGCCTACGGTTTCCTTCGTCGTTGGTCGAAGTGCCGGTGGTCCCTTTGTTGTCATTATTCAAATTATCGGGGCTATTTGGTGATGATTCACGAATGCTTGAGTTTCCTTGTTTTTTATTGTTACTACGGCTACTAGTTGATCGATATTGACATACCTGACCGCTGTCTGACAATACAGCCTCTTGTCCTAGGGGACATGGTTCCAGGCCCCGGTTATCAGTTATACCGACGGATTTGCATTCACCTCGTACTATAATGAAACCTACCGGACAAGAAGTCATTCCGAATCTCAGAGAAGGATCTTTGACACATTTCAGCCCATCTGTCGTTTCCAAGGGAATAAATCCATGGGAACATTTCCTTGGGGAAGCTTGGTTTGTTCGGGTCTTATTGTTACAAGTGTACCCAGTTTGAGATTGGACTGGTTCCTGGCCTGCGGGACATCTTGGAGGTAATATTTTATCGTGGCCTCTATATTGACATAACCTTCCCACTGGCGTATCGATGGGTTCAAGACCTTCAGGGCAAGGAACAAACTCTGTTATACTTCTGCATCGCCATCCAGAAGAGGTCAGCACTCGTTTTTGCCCAGATGCACATGTAGAAGTAAGTTCTTCACAAACAAATCTACCCTCTATTTGAGTTAAGGTAGTTCCCCTCCCACAAACAGGCCGGATTTCCCCTACGGCTGCGCAAATGAATCCAACGCCAGACCTTGTGTAAGTTTGTCCTTGGGGACAAAATGGCTGTGTCGTTGTCTCTGTGTCTTTATACTGACAGATAGCCCCACCTAAAACATTCACGGCGACTTGACCAGCTGGGCAGATAACCCGTTGTTCCTGAAAAACACTGGACGGTGTAGAGGTACCAGCATTGTCATCACTCACACTGGTCAAAGTATTAACACCAAGCAATGAAGGTCTGGTATCCATTGTTGAAGAGATAGCATTGTGAGTAATTTCCGCCTGTGTAGAACGCTCAGTTACACCCATAAGATCATGATTATTTACTGGGATGGGAACAGACACGCCTTCCTCGCCCACTTCTTGACAGAACACTGTATCGCTTTCAATGCGTTGGTGGTAGCCAGGCGGACACAACTTTGACGTAATTGCCTCATTTACTGCTTGCAGTGATTTGCGATACGATGTACAAAGGTCGTCCCGACAAATTCGGCCTTGTCCACGACGTTCCCCTGTTGAGCGTTCCTCATTTCTATGTCTCTCATCCTGGCGTCGATTAGTCTGTTTATGATTTCTCTGTCGGCCACGCAACCTGTTAAACTCCTTAAGAAATGATTTGATCTTGTCCTCAAAGCTAGATTTCCTCCTTTCAGAAGGTTCGGTAGAAGAAACTGTTGATGATATACCAACAGTGTAGTCATCAGGAAGTGGTGTTGTGGTTTTTAACACAGCTCTGTGTGTATTGTTACGTTCCTCGATTGTCGAATTCCGGTTCCCGTCATCTTCTAATCCGACCAGAGTACCATTTCTCAAGTCTTTTTTCTTGTGTATCCTTTTATTTTTTCTGCGTCGTCTGTTCTTGCGATTTCTCTTTGCCTTCCTTCTATGATGCGGACGGTTTGGTACAGACTCGTCTAATTGTATAACCGGAAGGCTTTCAGCGACCTGACTCGTCTCCGTTTGGACTTGGGTTACCTTTCTTTCAAACAGATATGTCTTAGGTTTCGTTGTTCCTAATTCATTGTGGTCATTTGACCTGTCATTAACATTTATTACTTTCGTAAGAGTCTGTGGTGTAGATACCCCGTCAAAATTGCGACTCTGCTGCTGGGCGTTCCGTTCTTCGGTCGGCACTTCTTCTTTGCTCTTTACCCCAGTTATTGGTTCTAGTCTGTAGAATAGGCGGTCAATCAATGCTGACCACAGCACTGTTGTTTGTTCTGTTGCTTTACCAATACCTGTTCGATCTGTCGAGGTACTGTCACATCCTGTTTGGGAATCGCATGGTTCAGCCTTGGTGTCGGTAGCCAATATATCTTGACTTTTATATCCTGTTTGACATCCAGAATGAGAGCATGGCAAAGCATCCCGAGGAACTTCCGGAACAGTTGGCACATTAAAAGTTTGCCGCCATTCCATGAATGGGTGTGTTTGTTCAATAAATTGTGTTTTTTGCGTCGGCGTTTGTTGACCTTGAAAGCAAGGACCATTCAAACAAGGGTCTGGATTATGGATATCTGGGTAGAAGGGTCTAGTATCGTCAGGAGACGTTTCCGGTATGAATGTACATGATCCAGAAATACAAGGTTCGGGTTTCAATTCAGAATCTGTGAATTTTGGAAACCATTCCTGACGATCATCTGTTGCTTCGGGTTGAAATGAAGGGATGCATTCTGAGTCCATGCACCCTTGAGGAAGAGGGAATTCTTCAACAACAGTTGGGATCCGTTGATCTGTCATACATAATTGTGTTTCCGATTTACAAGGTAATTCCGATCCGCATGGTTGATTGATTGGTCCGCATGGTAGAGGTGGAAGGCGTTCAGCCGGAACCGATATATCTGGGGTGAATGAATCACAAGGAGACAATCCAGGTCCACATGGAGACTGTAATCCAGAATCAACGTTTCGAGGAGATCCACATAGTATATCGTCTGGTCCACATGGTCTTAGTTGTGGAAGATTTACGGCTGGCAACACAGCGTCAGATGGAGGCATTCCACAAGGTCGACCATGAAGAGCGCATGGTGGATCACGAGCTTTTATTAACGGAGGTGCGAGTGAATCTGTACCGCAGGCTTGCCCTCGTGTACGTGACCTTGATCCACACGGGGAATTTCCTACCGAATATAGAAGATGTATATCAACTTACATTAACTGAAATGTCAGTAACCAGCTACTTTAAACCCTAAATAAAACCCATAGCGCCAAATAAATATCTATTTATAATGAAGACTGTGAAATCTAAGTTAACCTTTTCTATTCCGAGCCGAAAGCAAAACAGCCACTTAATATGAAGTATGCACTGTTAGACATATCCCTTAACAAACCATCAGGTACACAGAATTGACAGGATCTTCCCCTGACATTTCCATTATGCAGAGAAATGTTGGCCGATATAGAAAATCTTAACCATCAAACCTATATAACGCCAAGAATTTTCCGTCGAGAGTGCATATTTTCCTTGTCCTAAAGGTATCTAAAATTATCTGATTTTTTTGTCCCAAATCCAAAGAGACGGAAAATCGTTTCGGCATTGCCACTTAATCAAACATATATCACATAATAGCTAACAACGTAATGCCTTGTCATCCGTTCCCGTGTACATATCATTGATCACCTAGAGTCTGGTATGAGTGCTATATCTGATAGATTAACATTAGTTGTATATGTTATAAGCTAGAGACTGGGGTTTGTGGAAACGCACAGTACAAAACTAAAATCTCTGACATATAACTATTTACAGTATTCGTGTACCTTACGATATTGTCGGTCTCTTCTAACATCTATTTATAACTAACAGCAGACGTTACAACTCTAATAGGACCGCCCACTTTTATAGTGTCTGTCTGTACATAATGGTAGTGACGTTACATCCGAAGTGTAGCTGCGATATTATCGCCCCTTGTCTAACTCCTCTCTCTAACTTACGGTAGTCGTGTAGCTGCGATATTATCGCCCCTTGTCTAACTCCTCTCTCTAACTTACGGTAATCGTGTAGCTGCGATATTATCGCCCCTTGTCTAACTCCTCTCTCTAACTTACGGTAATCGTGTAGCTGCGATATTATCGCCCCTTGTCTAACTCCTCTCTCTAACTTACGGTAATCGTGTAGCTGCGATATTATCGCCCCTTGTCTAACTCCTCTCTCTAACTTACGGTAATCGTGTAGCTGCGATATTATCGCCCCTTGTCTAACTCCTCTCTCTAACTTACGGTAATCGTGTAGCTGCGATATTATCGCCCCTTGTCTAACTCCTCTCTCTAACTTACGGTAATCGTGTAGCTGCGATATTATCGCCCCTTGTCTAACTCCTCTCTCTAACTTACGGTAGTCGTGTAGCTGCGATATTATCGCCCCTTGTCTAACTCCTCTCTCTAACTTACGGTAATCGTGTAGCTGCGATATTATCGCCTCTTGTCTAACTCCTCTCTCTAACTTACGGTAATCGTGTAGCTGCGATATTATCGCCCCTTGTCTAACTCCTCTCTCTAACTTACGGTAATCGTGTAGCTGCGATATTATCGCCCCTTGTCTAACTCCTCTCTCTAACTTACGGTAATCGTGTAGCTGCGATATTATCGCCCCTTGTCTAACTCCTCTCTCTAACTTACGGTAATCGTGTAGCTGCGATATTATCGCCCCTTGTCTAACTCCTCTCTCTAACTTACGGTAATCGTGTAGCTGCGATATTATCGCCCCTTGTCTAACTCCTCTCTCTAACTTACGGTAATCGTGTAGCTGCGATATTATCGCCCCTTGTCTTACTCCTCTCTCTAACTTACGGTAATCGTGTAGCTGCGATATTATCGCCCCTTGTCTAACTCCTCTCTCTAACTTACGGTAATCGTGTAGCTGCGATATTATCGCCCCTTGTCTAACTCCTCTCTCTAACTTACGGTAATCGTGTAGCTGCGATATTATCGCCCCTTGTCTAACTCCTCTCTCTAACTTACGGTAATCGTGTAGCTGCGATATTATCGCCCCTTGTCTAACTCCTCTCTCTAACTTACGGTAATCGTGTAGCTGCGATATTATCGCCCCTTGTCTAACTCCTCTCTCCAACCTGCGGCTCGAGTGTAGACGCTATCTTTTCGGCTCTCGTCTTACTCCTCTCTCTAACTTACGGTAATCGTGAAGCTACGATATTATCGCCCCTTCTCTAACTCCTCTCTCTAACTTACGGTAATCGTGTAGCTGCGATATTATCGCCCCTTGTCTAACTCCTCTCTCTAACTTACGGTAATCGTGTAGCTGCGATATTATCTAACTCCTATCTCCCCTTGTCTAACTCCTCTCTCTAACTTACGGTAATCGTGTAGCTGCGATATTATCGCCCCTTGTCTAACTCCTCTCTCTAACTTACGGTAATCGTGTAGCTGCGATATTATCGCCCCTTGTCTAACTCCTCTCTCTAACTTACGGTAATCGTGTAGCTGCGATATTATCGCCCCTTGTCTAACTCTCTCTCTCTAACTTACGGTAACTCCTCTCGTGTAGCTGCGATATTATCGCCCCTTGTCTAACTCCTCTCTCTAACTTACGGTAATCGTGTAGCTGCGATATTATCGCCTCTTGTATAACACCTCTCTCTGCGATATTATCGCCCTTTGTCTAACTCCTCTCTCTAACTTACGGTAGTCGTGTAGCTGCGATATTATCGCCCCTTGTCTAACTCCTCTCTCTAACTTACGGTAATCGTGTAGCTGCGATATTATCGCCCCTTGTCTAACTCCTCTCTCTAACTTACGGTAATCGTGTAGCTGCGATATTATCGCCCCTTGTCTAACTCCTCTCTCTAACTTACGGTAATCGTGTAGCTGCGATATTATCGCCCCTTGTCTAACTCCTCTCTCTAACTTACGGTAATCGTGTAGCTGCGATATTATCGCCCCTTGTCTAACTCCTCTCTCTAACTTACGGTAATCGTGTAGCTGCGATATTATCGCCCCTTGTCTAACTCCTCTCTCTAACTTACGGTAATCGTGTAGCTGCGATATTATCGCCCCTTGTCTAACTCCTCTCTCTAACTTACGGTAATCGTGTAGCTGCGATATCGCCCCTTCGTCTAACTCCTCTCTCTAACCCCTTGTCTAACTCCTCTCTCTAACTTACGGTAATCGTGTAGCTGCGATATTATCGCCCCTTGTCTACTCCTCTCTCTAACTTACGGTAATCGTGTAGCTCCTCGCCCTTGTCTAACTCTCTCTCTAACTTACGGTAATCGTGTAGCTGCGATATTATCGCCCCTTGTCTAACTCCTCTCTCTAACTTACGGTAATCGTGTAGCTGCGATATTATCGCCCCTTGTCTAACTCCTCTCTCTAACTTACGGTAATCGTGTAGCTGCGATATTATCGCCCCTTGTCTAACTCCTCTCTCTAACTTACGGTAATCGTGTAGCTGCGATATTATCGCCCCTTGTCTAACTCCTCTCTCTAACTTACGGTAATCGTGTAGCTGCGATATTATCGCCCCTTGTCTAACTCCTCTCTCTAACTTACGGTAATCGTGTAGCTGCGATATTATCGCCCCTTGTCTAACTCCTCTCTCTAACTTACAGTAATCGTGTAGCTGCGATATTATCGCCTCTTGTATAACACCTCTCTCTGCGATATTATCGCCCTTTGTCTAACTCCTCTCTCTAACTTACGGTAATCGTGTAGCTGCGATATTATCGCCCCTTGTCTAACTCCTCTCTCTAACTTACGGTAATCGTGTAGCTGCGATATTATCGCCCCTTGTCTAACTCCTCTCTCTAACTTACGGTAAGCTCGTGTAGCTGCGATATTATCGCCCCTTGTCTAACTCCTCTCTCTAACTTACGGTAATCGTGTAGCTGCGATATTATCGCCCCTTGTCTAACTCCTCTCTCTAACTTACGGTAATCGTGTAGCTGCGATATTATCGCCCCTTGTCTAACTCCTCTCTCTAACTTACGGTAATCGTGTAGCTGCGATATTATCGCCCCTTGTCTAACTCCTCTCTCTAACTTACGGTAATCGTGTAGCTGCGATATTATCGCCCCTTGTCTAACTCCTCTCTCTAACTTACGGTAATCGTGTAGCTGCGATATTATCGCCCCTTGTCTAACTCCTCTCTCTAACTTACGGTAATCGTGAAGCTGCGATATTATCGCCCCTTGTCTAACTCCTCTCTCTAACTTACGGTAATCGTGAAGCTGCGATATTATCGCCCCTTGTCTAACTCCTCTCTCTAACTTACGGTAATCGTGTAGCTGCGATATTATCGCCCCTTGTCTAACTCCTCTCTCTAACTTACGGTAATCGTGTAGCTGCGATATTATCGCCCCTTGTCTAACTCCTCTCTCTAACTTACGGTAATCGTGTAGCTGCGATATTATCGCCCCTTGTCTAACTCCTCTCTCTAACTTACGGTAATCGTGTAGCTGCGATATTATCGCCCCTTGTCTAACTCCTCTCTCTAACTTACGGTAATCGTGTAGCTGCGATATTATCGCCCCTTGTCTAACTCCTCTCTCCCCTTGTAGCTGCGATAACTCCTCTCTCTAACTTACGGTAATCGTGTAGCTGCGATATTATCGCCCCTTGTCTAACTCCTCTCTCTAACTTACGGTAATCGTGTAGCTGCGATATTATCGCCCCTTGTCTAACTCCTCTCTCTAACTTACGGTAATCGTGTAGCTGCGATATTATCGCCCCTTGTCTAACTCCTCTCTCTAACTTACGGTAATCGTGTAGCTGCGATATTATCGCCCCTTGTCTAACTCCTCTCTCTAACTTACGGTAATCGTGTAGCTGCGATATTATCGCCCCTTGTCTAACTCCTCTCTCTAACTTACGGTAATCGTGTAGCTGCGATATTATCGCCCCTTGTCTAACTCCTCTCTCTAACTTACGGTAATCGTGTAGCTGCGATATTATCGCCCCTTGTCTAACTCCTCTCTCTAACTTACGGTAATCGTGTAGCTGCGATATTATCGCCCCTTGTCTAACTCCTCTCTCTAACTTACGGT